ATTATTTAATGGATCTCGTCCTAATTTTATTCGTACATCTGAAGGTCTTATAACTGTTGGAATGGTATTTCTTTCATTAGGTCTTGCAATTGCAATAGTAGCTGCAATTTTACCTCTTATCGCTTATGTAGCTGCATTCTTCGCACTTATTTCATTTATTTTTCTTGTTATTGGTTTACCAATATTTGGTCGACAAGCGAATGCTTTATCGGCGGCACGAGGTGATTATACATATGGACATCTTTATGGATTTTGGCTTATAGTACCAACTATTGTACTTGAATTTCTTGCAATGATTTTCTTTCTAGCTGCTGCTGTCCTTTATAAACTTTGTGGCTATGGTAATATATTATCGGGTCTAGGTAAAAAAGTAGGAGGTGGTCAACAAGTGCTTGGACCATATAATAAAGTAGGTAAAACGTATGGGGTAGGTCCAGCATATGGAATGGGAGTACCTGGTGCAGATTGGCTAGCTGGAATGGGAGCACCTGGGGCAAATTTACCATATGGAATGGGAGCACCTGGTTTATATCCAGGTTCGGCACCACCTTATCATCTAGCGCCGACTTTACTTTCCCAATATCTTAATCAACAGGTACCGCGACCCGCTCCACAGCTCGTAGCACGACTTGTGACTGTGAGTTCACTTCCACAACCATCTATTGCTCGAGCTATAGCACCAGCACCAATGCCCAATGTATTACCAGATTATTATCGAATTGGTGAACCAGCCGGACCACCTTTTCGACCAATTATAAATTTAACTGGACAAACACTTGTTGGTCCTCTTATACGTACTCGTTAAATTTGATTTGATTTTATTATATAAGAATAATTAATCGAAAAGAAACTAATGTTTTTTTCTTTGTTTCAACAAAAATAATGTTCTTCTACATATATTCATATAAAACTCACGTATTACAATATGTAAAATAATAAAGAACAGCATACTAATCATGATAAAGTTCAATAACATGACCTTTTTCTGTTCCGTAAATAACAGATTATTTTTTTTTTTATGCTTGACAAGATTAAAAAGCTAATTGTTGCTTTTCTTTTCTAGATAGTATATGAACTTGAAACTATGATATATGTATGTATGTATTCTATATACAAGTAATTATATTGTACATGTCATGAAATAATTATTTGCTTTCTTATTTTAAACATAAAGAAGAAGAATAAAAAAAAAAAAAAAGAAAGAGTCATCAAAAGCAATTCTTAGTGAATAATGTATGTAATCATCAAGTAAGAATCCATATAAAAGAAAAACAATAACTGAGAAAGAAAATAGCACATCATTGTCAATTAGAAATATATATATATATATCTACTTCTACTTCATCAGAAAGAGGAAATGGAAATTTGACGCGTAGGTGTGCCTGTTACGTGAGCGTATTCTTAGAACTTGAGGATCAGTAGCAAGAGTGAGATGAGAAAAAAAAAAAGAAAGCAACTGACACAAACACTATTCTATTTCTAATGTCGTTTTTTGTTGCTCATTCACCTTCACATGTTCATTTAAGCATCTCATACTATTAGAATAACTCGGTTTTTCTATGGGTAATGTAGCATGTCTATTATGCTTTTTCTTTTCTATTGATATTGATGAGTTTTTAGAGTTTCTTTTTTCTTCTCATTTTCTCATAGATTAGCCGCTAGATATCAATGGTTATTATTTGATGCTTTTACAATAATGTATTCATTTCTTTTTTTCTTTTTCTATTGAATATTTTTTGAATATAAACGAGAACAGATTACATAGTTCTTTTTCTTTTTATTATTTGTTCGATTAAGATATATATTAATAATAAATATTAAGTATTTTTTATGGAAATATTTCAGTTGTATTCATATGTTTATTATCAACATCATTTAGAATACTTGTTTTATTTATTTTTTTTTTAATTGAAATGACCTTGTTATTGAAATTAATTTTAATATATTTTGTATCTTGTTTTTAATTTTCATCATTTTCATGAGCTGTGACTGCACATGACACTGATATTGTCAGTTTCAAAATATATTCAAATGAGACAGAGTGTTCATTATTAGTCACGACAATCATCATGACTTTTATTCTCTATAATTGTCACATGATATTTCTTCACTTCATAACTTTTGTATATCATTTTATATATTTATAGACACATAAATATATCAATATAGTCCACTGATATAGAAGGAACTTAAGTACATCATTAGAAAAAGTAGATCAAGGAAACGAAGAAGCGATAGTCAGTCTTTCTTTTCTATAAGCGAATCTATTCATTTAGGCTTTCGTCAATAAATTTACTGGCGTCTTTAGGGATTAACTGATGTAACGAAACAATAGAACTCTAGCTAGTACATTTTATCTATATATTAATATATATAGATATATTCCTATTGAATACATCAATCATATTTTATCTTGAAGGTTTAATTATTTAAGAGTTTAAAGAGTTTGATTTTCCAATAATTCCTATACATTTGATATGTAAAATGATTGATAAAAATTTGCATTTAATTTTTCAAACACGATATGTATGCTGAAAATTGTAAAGATTATTGATTTTTTTTTTATTATTTTCGCGTCTTTTTGTTGTCCTTAGGCAGTATTGAATACATAATTAGCAATCATGCGGCATACAAATGAATTTTTCGGAAAGAAAATAATCTCAATAAATGCATTAATCAGCTGTTTTTTGGTTATTCTATTGTACGATCGAATGCTAAATTATTGAGTATGTCACGGCTGAACAGTTGCGTAAGATAGCCGAAAAAATTGAATATGAAAATATATATCCATATTTTGTCTCTTTTTTTTACTCTTAGTATCATCTTTCTTCGTTCGATTCTCGATGATAGAAATAGAAATAAGATTAGCTAGCAAGTGCCTATATGTGCACGCTAACATTCTCGTCTGGTTAGCAAGTGCTATTAATGAAATCTCATTTTTCAAGTTCTGCTTTTTTTTTTTTTTGCTTTCTCCTTTTATTTTTTGCTCTGTTGAAGAAAAGAATCATTCATTGTGCTTTATTTATTTTTTTTTTACTTATTGTGTCTCTTGTTTTTGTACTGGAATGAAAGAGAGAATATATAGAAAATGATTTGCCGATGTTTCGATAAATGTGCTGCCATCGGCAAATGTCCTTGACACTGGCTAGGCACGATCAATGATGTGATATATTGGGCAACGACATGTTATCACGTAGCTCTTTTTTTTTTTTTTTCTATCCAAGCAACCAAGTATAAACGACGATTAGGAAATTCTTAGTATGCATGCAATAGTTAATCATCGGAAAAAAAAATATATTACTAAAACTAAGAATGTAAATAATAATTGTTTTGGAACATAAAGAAAAAGCAACAATAGTTTCTCTATTTGAATTCTTTCTTTCGGTCTTCTATTTTTTTTTTTTTTTTTTTTCTTTTTTATTCGAGTTAATGAACGAAGAATTAATATTGACATGAACATTATGACATTTAATAAACATTTCTAATATTATTTCTTCTAAAGTATACGTTATAATTTCATCTATTCATAGGATTTTTTTTTTTTTTGTTTTTTTGGTTCTTCTAGAAAACCTAACTATGGTAATTACAACAAATCATTGGGTTTCATCTGCAATGAATAATAATACTAAAACAAAATATTTAATACAATTTAATCATGATTATAATAATTATTCAGATATTTCACAAGAATTTAAACCAATATGGATTAGTTTATCCTTAATTAGTAGTAAGTAATAGAATTATTTTGAATAGATTGAGTACTTATTTGTTATCTTTTTTTTGTTCAAAAAACATATTCATATTATTTCATGTTTAGTATTTTTAGATATTCTATGAAAATGTTATAAAATAATTACCGATTCTAAATATCAAAAATATAAAGAAATGTCACATGCAAATATCTTGACTACAAATGAAAATTCTATTTATAGATTAAATATAAATGAAAAGTTTATTGTAAATATCTAACAATAGCAAAAAAAAAGATATTAGAAAAAATTTTTTTTATTTGAAAAACATATATTGGAAATAATAATAAAAACAAAAAGATTAAGCATTAGTATTCTTTATTGTTTATGAATAGAAAAAAAAAACAAAAGTTTATAAGGTTACTCAATATCATGTATAGTGTTTTCAAGAAGACCTGATGTTTTTTTGCCCTCTAGAAATTATTTTCCATATTTATATTTACTATGAGGAAAAAAAAAGGAATAGAATAGAATCTGATTTATAATTCTCACAATAGAGAATTTTTGATGATCTATTGGGATTAATTTTTTTTTTTTTGTGTAATTATATTCTATATTAATTAATTAATTAATTACTTTTTTTTGTTTTAGTTATTATATTTACTGTCGGTGGTAATAGTCTTGTTTGTATTGCTGTTATACGTGAAAGACATTTACAAAATACAACAAATTATTTTTTAACATCACTTGCATTTACTGATTGTCTTGTAGCATGTCTTGTTATGCCATTAGCTGTTACTGTTGAATTTATTGGACATTTTCCATTTGATGCATTAGCTTGTAATGTATGGTCAACATTTGATGTTTGTTGTTGTACATCATCTATTTGGCATATGAGGTAATATGATTAGTTAAAGTATTGATTTTTTTTTTGTTTTCAATTTAAATTTTAGTGTTATGTCACTTGATCGTTATCTTACATTAAGATATCCATTAAAATATGGTCGAAATAAACGTCGAAGTTTAATGGCTTATAAAATTATAACTATTTGGTTGATATCATTTGCCATATGTTTACCATTATTTATTCTAAGTTTGGTTGATTCAACAAATGTTTTTGATGAAAAAGCACGTGCATGTTTTCCATCAAATCGTATATTTAAACTTTATGGTTCATTTGTTGCTTTTTTTATTCCATTAATTATTATGATTGTTACATATGCATTAACAATGTATGCATTACGACAAGCTCATACAACAAAAAAAAAACGTTATAAAGGTCGAAAAAAAATTCATGCTGTTATGAATATAGCTGCAATGGCTGTACGATGGAAACGAGCTGTTAATAATGTTGAAATATCATCAATTGAAAAACAATCAACAATTATACCTGAACAAGATATGCAATCATCAATAAATAAAATACCTATAGATTATGCAAAAAGACGTGCAACATCATTACGTATACATAGACAATCACCAAAAACTCAATTTACATCTAATCAACGTTTAAATGAATCTTTAAAATTATCATCAACTAGTAATTGGCAAAAACAAAGTGTTAAACAATTACCAGAAACATTTAGTAAGAATATATATATATATTTTATGAACTTATTGGAATTTTTTCTTTTTTAGTTAAACAATCAGTAGATCAACATTTAAATCCTAATTGTTCAAATAATTTACAAGCACATACAAAACGTAGTCATTCTTGTACACCATTACTTGATGTTGAAAATATTCATAATGATCAACGACGAAGTTCATCAATTCATACACTTTTACAAATTCGTCGTGATTCAGCAAAAATAAGTGAAGAATTAGCTAATTTAACTGCTCAATTATCTGCATCAATGAATAATAATAATAATAATAATAGATCAACAAGTAAACGTCCTTCACTTTCTGTTCCTGGTACAACAATAACCGTTGAAAATGATACACCAACAATAGATCAATTACTTGCTGAAACAAGTGTTAATCAACCAATTATTATTCCTAAATCATTATTATCAATTAATCCAAAAAGACGTCAACGATCGTAAGTTAATTAATATTAAAAAATTTTCATTGTCTTCTTCTTCTTCTTTAAAGACATAGTGCTGATATTCGT